ATGGCAGTTGATCAGTGTTCAAATGTACAAATTACCACACAATTTTTTTTGGTTCCTTCATCCGAGCCTCTGAAGAAACAATGGGTTTCAGCCGACACAGCTTCCCAAAGTTTTGTTTGGTCCAAACATTTCGCTGACTACCGTTTCCTCAACTTGGGCCAATACAGAACTGGCCTCGATGAACTCTGAAAATAAACCGATCGAGCTACCAAGCAACAATTTCTGATGTGTAATTTAGCCTAATAGTTCTTCAGTTAATCTCTCTCTCAACATCGTTCAATACTGTTTATGCATAAGTAAGTCAAGCCAGTGACTAAAATATCAACTGCACATTGTTTCTTTTACACTCTAAAAAATGCTGGGTTGTTTTAACCCAATTTTGGGTAAAATATGGACAAACCCAGCCATTGGGTTACATTTTAAAATTATATTTTTAACCCAATTGGCTGGGTTTGTCCATATTTTACCCAAAATTGGGTTAAAACAACCCAGCATTTTTTAGAGTGTAGTAGGATGAAAATAATCTCATTTAAATTGTGAACATATTATACATAAAGCGATCAAAGAACAATCTTTCCACACAGCGCGAGTTTATCTGGACAACTCGTTATGAAATCAATGACGCACATTACACTGTACATCATCGTGTTTGCATTGGTGAAAGCATTAGAGAGAGTGCAGAAACTGCATTACAGTGATAAGATCTTCATTCTCGCGATCAACAGACTGTCATCTGCTTGCTCAATGCTCATCACGGCAAAATTTTATGTGATGGGACAAGATCTAAATACTTTAAAAACTTCTCACGATTCGTTAATCTCGATAGCTGTAAAAACGTATAATAGCTGTAGTAAAAGTATTCGCGAGAGTTTCACATGTAATATGTAGCTATTTCATATGCAAGCATGTCAGCCAATCACAGCAGTGGCCGGTTACACTGAATCCCACAGCAGACACGCCCCTTCAAAAAGAGTGTTCCAATCAGTGGCTAAAATCAGTCTAGGAAAAATACCTTTTAACTAAATTATGACTATTTTTGATCTAAAAAACATACGAACATTATAAGGGCAACCTTAAAATTGAATTTTATTTTCTTTCAACTAAGAGATGCCGTATTGAACTTCTAATGGTCACATGTCTTCAAGTACGAATTCACAAATCAGAAATGGAATGAAACTTTGGAATGCACTGAAATTTCTTCAGTATGACCATATGTTTCTGGTCTCGCACCACTGGAATGAAAAGTGTAGTGTGATCTCCCCTGAAAGTGGCAAATTTGTAAAAATGTCATCAGAAATGTAGTGAAATGCATTGGTGTAATTTATGGGTGGGACATGTCCCCACCACTTTTGAAACGGCATGGATGTAAATGATACAAATAAATAAAACATCTCTAGTTAACTAACAGAGCATTCATTTAATTCGTTTGTTAAACAAGAGGCAATCTAGCGCTGAAATGTGTTGTTTTTGAAAGCAAGTGATCAAAGTGCTCGTTGCCGCTGCGATCAGTGGCATGGATACAGTGTTCTCATGGATTGCGCTGCCGTGCACAGTCTTCAAACGGACACACGCTTTAATCCGTTATGGAGACTCTATTCGTTCCGTTTTTATAGCAAAGTTACGCCACTGGTGAAATGTCAAACTTAATTTAGAGGACATCTGAAGTGCTCTGTACTATAGCTCAATAAATCATGTTTTACTTCAGATATATCTAGTAATATCAACAGGTTTGTGTTAAGGCATAAGGTAGTGTAATTATCATTCTTATAGAATACCATCTATTATGTTTTTTGTGTTTGTCTGTGTGAAAGAGACATTTAAACTGACTTTGACTATTTTTACATATGAAGAGTTCAGATGCAAAAGCCTCTAAGTGCCATTTGAAATTTTCTTCTACAGTAGAATTATCATTTTTATCAAGCTTGTATGTTTAAGTTCAGTAATTTCACTTAAATTGCAATGAAGATTACCTATTAATTGTCATTTAAGTGAAATTACTGAACTTGAATATATAAGCTTGATAAAAATGACCATTATAGAAGAAAATTTCAAATGGCACTTAGAGGCTTTTGCATCTAAACTCTTCATATCAGGTTTTCTTAAACTGGCAATAAACTGCTGGATCGATGGAGGAAGAGAAAGACTGTGAGGGTGAATGAGGGATGAGTAGAGAGAGAGAGAGAGAGAGAGAGAGAGAGAGAGAGAGGCACATGCATCTCCCTCTGGCCAAAATGAACAAGAACTAGGCCATGCTGTACCGCACCTGAGCAAAGGCAAAACAGCTGCTGCTTCTTTTTTAACTCACCTTTTAGATTTATTGAGGGAAAAAACAACTACTATAACTTTATTTTTACATTAGTGGCAAAACTCAACGTCCCCTACTCCATCCATGAAGGAGCTGCAAGGACAGAATAAGAAATTCAACTTTTGCATGTGTGTGGCAGTGTGTAGTTTAGATCGCATCACTGTCACTGAGCTCTGATGGGTGTCAGATGTGACCTTATAAAACATTGTTTCAAACAAAAGATCACAAGCAAATATTTGCACAAGTCTGATTCTACAAGATACAATTAATTACATTAATATAGTGTGTTAGAGTAAGAAAAAATATTAGATGAGAAAGACCACACTTACCTGTGCTGCAGTTTCATGCTGCTCATATCTAATATGGTGCCTCTATTGGCACAATGTGTTACTGCAGCCAGACCAAAAAAGTAGCGCTGTAGACAGATTACTGTAAAAATGCTACACTTTTTTTATCCGATATTTAATGACCTGCTATTTTGTTTCTAGATCACACATTTAATATAAAAAATAAGTAAAATAAAAGACATGTGATAAAGGTAACATGAAGTTGCATGTGTTTTTTTTAGGAATGGCATGGAATAATTTAAAGAGTTAGATAGCTTTGTTTAGAAAGGATGAAGATCAAAGGAATCTGCTTAGTTTTTAATGAAACGATGCAATTAAGATGTAAATTAGAGATTAAAGCATCTGCTTGTGTGTGTGTGTGTGTAGGCCTGCAGGTCGCCACAAGGATAGTAAAATCTGAGATCACCTTATGGCGACCAGCCAGCATCCACCGCAAGGTAAATGATTTAAAAAACATACTAAATTATGCTTATTTGATAATGTAAAAATGCAGAAAGTTTTCTGTAATAGGTGTAGGGGAATAGAATATAGCTTGTACTATACTGTATAAAAATCAAAGTCATGGGAACTTCACACTGTTTATTAATTTGTTTCTTTTGAACCTGCAATGCTACTTGCAACGTTAATATTTTAAGCTGAAGTCCGGTGTTTTTTTCCTCTGTCGCCATCTCTGTTTGAAATCTGCAATTGCAGTCATTTTATCAACTTAAAATGTATCAACTTTACGTGAGTTGTGCCTCGACACCGCACTGCGTACAGTAGGTAGACAACCAGAATGTGGTTTTTACCGCCGCAGTTTTGCCGCGGCGGTAAAAGTTGAGGTGTATTTGCTGCCTTTGTAGATGAACACAATGTTTGAGAAGAGTGTGAGGCTGTCAGTCACCACGCCGATGTGGATACTGGCATTCAGATTCACCGATTAAGTATGACCAACATAAGAATTTTCGCCAGAAAAAGTCATTTGAACTAGTAAGAAACATTTGTTCTGGTTCTGACATTGCACATCGCGCTGATTAAATCTCGCTTATAATTTATCATATCTCGCAAAACCGTGCAAATTATATTTTGTTCTCAAATTGTTAATGTTAACATCGTCAGCATTGCATCCATCCGATACGTATCCTTGTTTTCGCATGGGTCCAGTTGCAGTCTCTTTTTTTTCTGTATAGCCACTCCGAAGTCCGAACAAAGTCTTTTGCATTTTACAGCGGGTGAATCTGTTGTCACTCATTTGAACCTTTCTGGATCCTTTCTGATAAGTTTAATTATATCAAGTGCTGTGAGAAAAGGCTATAAATCTCACTCCACCTCCACCATCCTCACTCGCAATATAGCTTATACTAGCCAAGATGACTCCTTTGTGTACAGATGTGTATACAGAAGTGACATAATGAAAAGACATGCTCGAATCTCCCGCAGAAATCCACCAGTACCACTGAAATCAAAAACATTATTACAACAAGCTTACCGTTTTAAATCGAGCTACGGCAAGCAGAGTTTTGAACACTGGCTGGTTATGTATTTTCTCAAATGTATTTTGGATCATTTTTAACCCCAAAAAAGCTACGGACTGCAGCTTCTGACAGTGGCGCAACAAAAAAAGAAGACCAGTGTGCAAATCTGCCCGTTTCATAAGCTATATAAAAATGTTAAGTTAATTTTTTATTTTAAATAAAATATAGACTATTCATTCGCTTTTTCCGATTTAACGACTCATTCTTTTGAGTCTGATCTTTTCCAGGTTTAAAATTTGGCCTAAATTATCCGTTCACAAATCAGACTCAACTGATTCGCTTAATGGTTCACTAATCGTTTCTAAATTGTATACGAAATACGAAAAAAAATCTTTTTCGTAATTTGAAAAACGGTGAGTGGATAGTAAAAGTATTTTGGCTGTAGCCTCGTTGGGCTTAAAATGTTGGATTCAAATATAATTAATATATATGAAATGGTTATTTTAATAGAAATATTACAGATTAAACAAACTGGAACCGATTCGCAAAATGAATTGGATTTCCCTGTTGGCTACAGACAAAAAAGGTTAATCGTGGAATGGTGTAGCAGCCTAGGCCTACGACTTGAGAGGTTGCAGTAGAGAATGAACAAGATGTCGAGTGTGTGATGCGTGTGAACCGGTATTGTATCACGTGGTCACAGTCCTTGTTTGTGGATGATATTCATTCATTAATCATAATCACCAGCAAAACGGACACATTTGCGGTCATAAATGTATATGAGAGAATGAAACAAAGGGAGGGAAGAACAACACAAACGTTAAAACAGAATCTCCGCTCTCATCTCTTCTTGAACGTTGCGCGTATCCCAGTCAGAGCGCGAGGATCCGCTGCACGCGCACACACGCTCGCTCACACACTCACTCACGCACAGTCACACACAGACTGAACCAGCCGAGAGAGGGAAGAATGAGGAAGAACTCGCACGCACATTTCAGCTCTCATAGATTTGCTGATAAAGCATCAGATATTTGATCGCTACGGGTCTGTTTGGGGAAAAACAAACGCGTGTATGGAAATCGGAGAGTGCATAATACTCGCGTGGGTCTCTAATCTTTTCTCCACATCATATATAAAAACCTAAACTAATGCGAGCTGGGATACTACTGACTGCTTCCGACACGCACTGTCGTTAACACTCCTACCGCTTTCCCTCAGACTTGCATCTTTACGGAGTACCGTTACGGTAAGAGCACCTTAGCCTATATTTATATGATGTGATTGCATGGAGATTAATGCTATCTGTATCGTTGCACGAGGGTTAATAGGGGGCTAGAGACAAACCGAGTAACATTCATGTTTACGGAGAGTGACCCATTTGATACAGAGGTGCGCTCTCGTGCCCGTCCGGCGCGGTCCGCAGTGGCACGCGGATGATGATTTAACCGGCTGTTCGCCTGCACCTCGTTTTACGGGATTCTGATGTGCACGTGAAAGTTGTATTAAACATGATCCGGTCTCGATAGTCTCTGCGCTTTTGAGCACATGGCGGGGGGGAAAAAAGCCATTGAGGCAACCGTTTTGTCCGAGCAATAAGGAATTGTTATCCCTGATAAGAAATTAGGCATGTCTTCGACGCCTGGGATGTGGGATAACAGATGTTTCATCAGTGGATAGTGTAGAGGTGCTGAATGAGAGCAGTAGGTTGCGGTATATGAATGAGAGTGAACGAGATCTGAGCGCAGTGCTGAATTAAAGCGCTCTGTATTCGGTTCTTTTGCATTTCAGATCAGTAAACCGAGGTTAAATTGATTAAATAATTAAGTGGTTTATTTCATATGAATGTGTGAGTAAGGTCTGCAAGATTTTGCTGTTCACTCTGCCCATTGATGACTGCAGATATTAGTGTGTGACACTGTGGGTGTGTGTCCAATGACCATGCATGTGTTTTGCACCATGAGCAAGTGTTTCATCTTCTTGCCTCAAAGGTTGATTGCCACCCTTTTTCTGAAAATGGATTTTGCAGGGATCGTTTGAATTTAGGTCTGCTTGCTTGTAGTCAAGCACCAGCGTCCCAACCTAAACTTCACTAGATTATTATTATTATTTTATTTAATCTGCGCTCTGAACTAACAGAAACAGCTTGCAGAATGGATTGTCATTCAGCACTAGGCTTAAGGGAGCATCTGGACTTGTTCATGCATTTTGTAGAAATGAACCTGGAGATTAAATTGATAAACAAATTTGACAAATGAATAATCAAGTCCAGATTCTCCAGAATATTTTTTTACCTAACAATTCTGGAACAGGCTTTTTAGCAAATACTGTTAAAACGTTCCTAAAATGTCAGACTTGAATCAGTGTCAGACACCTTATAATATAACAGCCATTTTTGACACCACGTATGTTGTTGCTTGTTAGTGATCAGTGGTTTTATTTTTCTCCATTTTCTCTTCTTTCTCCTGTTCTCTTTCTATTATAGCAGAAGTTTGTCACAGAGTAAAGAACGATGAGGCTTCATGAGACCTCCCCTCGCCTCTTCCTGAGCTTTCAGTGTCTTGTCGTCTTGGTGATACTGCTCTTTAACGTCCACCATGTGACAGCAGAACATGCTCCGGACCAGAGCCAGGATCATAGTTCTCCTGCCAACAAGTCTTTGTCCTGTGGTGGGACTGTCAGATGTGCACCTGGAGTCATCCTTCCAGTGTGGGAACCTCCAAACCCTTCCTTTGGGGACAAGGTAGCCCGAGCCACGGTTTACTTTGTGGCACTGGTATACATGTTTCTGGGAGTTTCTATTGTTGCTGACCGCTTCATGGCATCCATTGAGGTAATCACCTCACAGGAGAAGGAGATCACCATTAAGAAACCAAATGGTGAAACGACCACGACAACTGTACGCATCTGGAATGAAACTGTGTCCAACCTCACCCTCATGGCTCTGGGGTCATCTGCCCCTGAGATTCTGCTCTCGGTCATTGAAGTGTGCGGCCATAACTTTGAAGCTGGTGACCTCGGACCCTCCACCATAGTCGGCAGTGCAGCTTTCAACATGTTCGTCATTATTGGAATCTGTGTCTACGTGGTGCCCGACGGAGAGCTTCGCAAAGTGAAACACCTGCGAGTTTTCTTCGTCACCGCCACTTGGAGCATCTTCGCCTACTTGTGGCTGTACCTGATCTTGGCTGTAATCTCACCGGGCATCGTCCAGGTGTGGGAGGGTCTCCTCACTCTTTTCTTCTTTCCGATTTGTGTGGTCTTCGCTTGGATTGCTGACCGCCGGCTCCTGTTTTACAAGTATGTTTACAAGCGCTACCGAGCTGGCAAGCACCGCGGCATGATCATAGAGACGGAGGGGGACCGTCCTCTGCCATCCAAGGTGGATATCGAAATGGATGGGAAGATGCTGAACTCTCACGCAGTGGACTTCTTGGATGGAACTCTGGCTTTGGAACTGGAGGACAAAGACCTAGATGAGGAGGAAGCTAGGCGTGAGATGGCAAAGATCCTGAAGGAACTGAAGCAGAAACATCCCGATAAAGAAGTGGAGCAGTTGATTGAACTTGCTAATTACCAGGTGCTCAGCCAGCAGCAGAAGAGCCGTGCGTTCTACCGATGCCAGGCGACCCGCTTGATGACCGGAGCAGGTAACATTCTAAAGAAGCATGCGGCGGACCAGGCTCGTAAAGCAGTGAGCATGCAAGAGGTGCGCAGTGACACTGGAGAGAATGACCCCATTTCTAAGATCTTTTTTGACCCTGCCTCTTACCAGTGCCTGGAAAACTGCGGAACTGTGGCGGTCAATGTGGTTAGGCGGGGAGGCGATCTCAACCAGACCGTGTCGGTGGAATTCCGTACGGAAGATGGAACCGCGAATGCTGGCTCAGACTACGAATTCACCGAAGGCACTGTCGTTTTCAAGCCAGGTGAGACGCAGAAGGAGATCCGAGTTGGAATTATTGACGATGACATCTTTGAAGAGGACGAGAACTTCCTTATCCACATCAGCAATGTCCGTGTGCTTCATGAGGGTGATGAGCCAGAGACCACAGAGGCCAATCACGTGGACACCATCGCAACACTCGGTGTGCCCTCCACAGCAAGCGTCACCATCTTTGACGATGACCATGCTGGAATCTTCACATTCGAAGAGCCAGTCGCCCACGTTAGTGAGAGTGTGGGCGTCATGGAAGTGAAGGTCCTGCGCACGTCTGGCGCCCGTGGGGTGGTGTCGGTGCCGTATAAAACCGTTGAGGGAACTGCCCGTGGAGGAGGAGAGGACTTTGAAGACTCCCATGGTGTTCTGGAGTTCCAGAACGACGAAATCTTGTAAGTCATAGTCTCATATTTACTGTCAAATGTGTTTGGGTTCTTGTCCTGATGAGTCACTCCTAAAATATCCCTGTTAAGAAGAACCATTTTAGAATTTTTTTTTTTTAATTTAAAATCTTGATTTCAATTGCGTTAGTATAGTGCCTTGTCAGAACAGGAATGCCATGCATGTAAGATATTTTTGAATTGTATGTGCCTGATGGAGTGGCATGCTTGATGCTAAGTATTTTGCTCTGTGACATCATTTTGATGCCACTATGATATCAGTGTGCAAAAAGCAGCCGATGGAGGATGTCATCAAAAAGAAAATCCCCAGATACACTTCTCATCTTCTCCTCTTCTCCATCTTTTCGTGTGTCTTTCATTCACAATTCTCTCTCTTTAGATTTTAGCCTCAAAGCCTGATCCCTTTGAGTCAGTGTGAATGATGATTATAATGATTGTAATATCCTGTCTGGCAGATGTTTGACTGTTTGGTTTCCTGGTTATTTATTAATTATTGTATTGATTGACCGCTTTTTGTAGTGTGTGTAATGTTTAATGAGGCTTCTTTTTGCTTTTCACTATAGCCTTTGACTCAATTTTTCCCTTTCTGGAGATGATGCATGCTGCCCGTAGCTTGTCATGACTATATTCCCTGTTGAAAAAAAAAAAAAAACACATCTTAAAACAACCTAAGCTGGTCTGATTTGGTCTCCCATCCTGGTCAGGCAGTTTTGTTGGCTGAATTAGAGGGGTTTGGGGCACTTTTTAATCAGGCCACCCAGCAGCACACCGTCTTGTCCAGGCTGTTAGACCAGCAACTTAAACCATCAAAGATCAGTATACCAGCTATGTTTTTTTCAACAGTGTTTGTTCAGGTTTATTGCCCTAGAAATCCCATAGATTTGCCGTTCTGACATTGACAACAACTAAGCTGCAGATCATAGAGTGAGTGCTTTGTTGTTTGCTGACAAGCTTTTGCTTGACATGAGAGGGAAGCCTCAAAGCTATCTTTAACATGTCTCCTGCACCTGAGCAAAGGTTATTGAAATTGAAAAATCAGCACATCTGCATAAGATGCTCAGTAAAACAGAAAACTGTCCATCTGTCCTGGTATAAAAGACGTTAGGCAAGCACAGTGACCGATTGTAACAGGCCAGTGTATATTTTAACCAGATTCAAAGCAGATGTTGAGGGTCAGACTTTCAGGGGCCTGTTGGCCTGTTGCATACTTTCCATAAAGCAAAGCTGTGCGCGCCTTTAAGTGGATTTTAATAACACTCCTGTAATGAAATGATGAAGGGATAGGGGGTGTGTCATGCCCTGTGCTGTAGACAGGATTGTGGCTGCCTTAGTCTTTCAGCTCAACTCACATTCAAGAACTCCGATGTCTTGATTTCCTTCGGATCTTAAAAAAAATTCCAGAACGTATAATTAGAACATTATCTCAGCATTCTGGAATATGAGTGTGGAACAAGGTTGGAATGCAGGGTTACCTCACTGTGCTGGACTGGGATTCATCGCACTTTCTGAGCCCTTTTGGAACTGTTTACTAAATACAGCTCTGTGAATTTTTATTATTTGCTCCAAACAGTATTTGACTATGCTCAGAAACATATCAGTGAAAGATGAATGGACTGCCAAACTCTCCCTGTACTGCCAAACTGTTAACATCATAGATCTGCTTGTGGAAACACAACTTTTTATTCTCTACACAGAATTGTGTGGTCTCACTGTCACACAGTAGATCATCTAGATTGAAACTCATCTCGTGGGGTAAATATCAGTTCAGTGCCTTCTGGGTCTAATGGTTGTGTTTCAGTGGTATCATGGGATGTTAAGAAGTCTTGGCCAGATCTCATAGAAGGAGACAAGGCTGAGAAACACCATGCTGCAATGCCCTTGAACACAACCCAGAAGCAAGGCAGAATGGATTGCTCTGGAAAAGAGAGAAAAGAAAAAAGTAAAAGGGAATGAGAAAATAGATGATCTACATCTCAGAGCCAGAGGCAAACTCCACCCTAATTTCAGTGTCACAGTTTGTAAGAGAAACACAGAACTAAAGTTGGAGCTCCTTGCAGGCTTGTAGTTTCTTTACTCCCATTGGATTCTTCCGAGGATCAGGAGCGCTGGCGTTAACTGATAAACAGATTTCCACAGAGCTAGAGCACTCGTCAATCACAAAGTTCTACAAATCCCTTGATCCTTGCATGTTTGTTTATGAAATATTTGGCTTATTGATTATTCCAGCTCCCAATGTTGTACTGCAGTCCTGCAGATTTTACAAGTTGAAAATTGTACAAGTCTACTTATGAGTTCTACATAAAGCAGGGTAGTGGTAAATTGTCTTTTTTTGTGCATTTAAGGACTTTTACTTTCTAATTGAGTTCCTTGATTTTTATTTCATTTGAATTGTAGCAAACAGAATTATTTGAAATTGTATTTTTACGTAGAAAAGCAAAGATTTGCAAGACAATTTTAATCAATGGCTTGACGGAGCCTTGTTTGAAAGTTCAAACAAATATATTTTGATAGATGGATCGAGGGATAATTTTTCATTCTGAAATTTCCACAACCCTGGGTTTCCTGTATTAATTTCCACCTAATCCCCGGCCAAACAAAAGATATAGCCCACAGTCACAGTGCACACAGATTCAGAGTACTGTACATTGTTAACTGGCATTTTGACATTTGTGCTCTTAAAATGCCAGGGCACTGTGTGGCAAGGAGAGTCATCCAGTTTTATGTGTGTATGTGGATGTAGCCTATGTCATTTTGAAGCAGCCATTGGTTAGATGTTCTTAAAGCAGTCGTGTTTATGGGATTATGTGTGTGTAAATACACTGTTATAAAACGGTGTGACAAATGACATCTGTATCTGTATCTGACAACTTAATCATCAGACCGTCCCACTGGACAGACTCTGAATGAGATGAAAGAAGGAATAACTGAAGGAAAACATAAGGGGGAGAGAAATATGAGAGAGTGGCTGTGTTTAAAAAACATTTTGAGATGCGCATTTTAGGCATCACAGACTATGGGCTCTATCTTGCACCCGGCGCAAATGACTTTATACAGAAACGCATGTGTCATTCCTATTTTGCACGCGCACAAAGCAGGATTTTTCCCTCAAATGACGCGCTCCCTGGGCAGATCGGCGCAAAAAGGAGACCAGAAAAAACCTGGTCTAAAGTCAGTGGCGCGTTGCACGTTGTTTATAATGCTATTTTAAGCGCACATGCTTGGCCATAATGTAGCGGGTGCACAACGAGCATACACTTTGATTCTCTCATCAACACAGATGCAGCAGTTTTTATGTTTGCAAATCATACATTATAACAAGGAAAAATATTAAAACATGAGGGAAATCATTGTGCTTTATGGAGATGAAAAAACCTTATTACCCATTCATTTTTTTAAGGCTAATTGTAGTACTGAAGGATAAGACCTGTTTGATAGTGGCAAGAAACATACGTATATAATGTTTAACCGACGATGATGTGCGAGGGTTTCTCCCATCCCCATACAACGTCACTTCTGTCTTTCACTGCCCTGACAAGAATGTCGGCCTCATCGGCTGTGAACGCTCCTGGCGCGCGCCTGGTAAACCCGCCGTTAAAATTAGAATCTGTCATGCAACATGCGCACCTGCTCTTAAAGGGTACGTTGGATGACGCTCTGATTTGTTTATTTCACGTTACGCCCAAACCACACCTATGAATAACGAAGCTACATCAGACCAATCCCTTTTAGATTTGCGCCAGGTGCAAGAGGCATTTATCCTGCTGGGAAAATAGCAACAGCGCCGGGACCCGCCCACAAGTTACTTGCGCTTTGCGCTTTTACACTTGCATTTCAGATCGTTAAAATAGGGCCCTATGTCTAAAAAGTGCTGTGGACAGCTCGCTAGGTTTTGAAATAATTTATATGAATTTATATTGAATTTATATTGTGCAATAAGTGCATTGTATATATGTGTATATATATATATATATATATATATATATATATATAAATGATGTATTATATAGAAATAGAAAATATAGGCTAGAATTTTATAATTATTTAATTGTTTTTTCCTTGCGTATTGGTGCTAAACAGCACCTGAAAATGTTACTTGATGAAAATAATTTCAAATGTTTCATATTTTAAGCACTTTATGATACAGCTGACATAAAATAACCTGAGGTTCTCATTTAGTAAAATTTCACACCTTTTTATGTATAGTGACAGATTCAGGCGTTTCAAAAAGGTGTTTGATCCGCATTATCTGTAACCTATCTAAACTAGATTGGATATAAATGTTTTTTTTTCCTTCACATAGTGTTGCAAAGACAGCAGTTTCTCCCTGAAGTCAGAGGGCAATTGCTAATCCATTACACTTCATCATTCCTACGCCACATCAAAGAGGCCGCCTCAAGGATATTGATAGGCAAGTACGTCAGTACATAGCTGAAATAAGAAATGATGGGTGGGTATGTTCAGCTCTTTGGCGATTTTAAGTGCCTTCAGCTGGATTTTTTTCTTTTTCGGCTACATACTGACACACTTGCCTGTCAGTTCCTTCCAGGCGGTAAGCTTTTCTTTGTCTTTTTGGGATGGCCATCTTCTAACATTATACTCTGACACTGAATTTCTTGGCTACTTAATGAGAGTTGTTTGACTCGTATTTACATGTATTTGGCCTTTTGTTGTGGGTGTATTGTTGACATGGAAACGTTTAGACCCTGAATACAAAACGACCCTATTTTTTCAGATGTATTTCCAAGAAAAAAACATTTTTTATTTTGAACAATACGGTACATCCATGTAGGTCATTCTTGCAGTTTGACTTCCATCTAACCTAATAGGGTTAAACTGGCTAAAGGGTATGTTTACACGACAACGCTATGCTTAAAACGGTGACTTTGTTCCTTTTGAGTTTTCCCCGTACAGACGACATCATTGTCAAAACGATCCCCATTCACACGGATTCACAAAAACGACAAAAAATGCTGTATTTTGCTGCCAGGCCA